GGCGGGGGCGCCCCAGCCTCGCCGGCATCGCCGGCCGCTCCCTCGGGCGCCGGGGCGCCGCCGGTGTTCGCGTAGGCGGCCTGGCCGACCTTCATCAGCTCCTCCTGGAGGTCCTTGGTCATGGTCTTGAGGAGCTCAGTGTCGGGCTCGGCCTCACCGACCTTGTCCTTCAGCGCCTGCAGCTTGGGGTCGATGCTGGCCTTCAGGTCTGCAGGCACCTTGTCGCCCAGGTCAGACAGCTGCTTCTCGGTCTGGTACACCAGGCTCTCCGCGTTGTTCTTGGTCTCCACGGCATCCTTGCGCTTGGCGTCGTCGGCGGCGTTGGCCTCGGCATCCTGCACCATCTTGTCGACGTCCGTCTTGTCCAGCGTGGAGGATCCAGCGATGGTGATCGTCTGCTCCTTGCCTGTACCACGGTCCTTCGCGCCCACGTTGAGGATACCGTTGGCATCAATGTCAAAGGTCACCTCGATCTGCGGCACGCCTCGCGGCGCCGGCGGCACGCCGTCCAGGCGGAAGGTACCCAGGATCTTGTTGTCCTTTGCAAACTGCCGCTCGCCCTGCAGCACCACGATCTCCACAGACGGCTGGGAGTCCGTGGCAGTGGAGAAGACCTGCCAGGTCGTGTCAGGGCAGGGTGTCTACGTCCTAGCTTGCTTGCCCAGACGTTTGCAGCAAAATCTCCCCCCCCCCCCCCCTCGCCCCAACCCCCGCCCCCACCCCCACCCATGCCTCTGTCTTCTTGGTGGGAATCGTGGTATTCCGAGGGATGAGCACTGTGGCCACTCCGCCCAGTGTCTCGACGCCCAAGGACAAGGGCGTCACATCCAGAAGGACGATGTCCTTCACGTCACCCGCCAGGACACCAGCCTGCACGGCCGCACCCACAGCCACCACTTCGTCCGGATTCACGCTCTGGTTAGGCTTCTTGCCACCCACCAGCTCCGACGCCAGGGTCTGGATGGAAGGGATTCGGGTGGAGCCACCCACTAGCACAATCTCGTTGATGTCGCTAGCACTCAGCTTGGCATCCTTCATGGCACTCTCGACTGGGCTCCTGCGCGGCCCGAGTGAGCACAAGTGGTGTCATGTTATGTATCATGCTGCGTATCATGCTATGACAGGACGCACCAAGCTAAGCGCGCGCATTTACAAACTGCACCACTCATCACCTCATAACAGCTTCCCCCGGGGTCTTGCAGCGAGTGATGAGCTTGCTGGCCAGCTGCTCGAACTTGGCCCGGGAGAGGCTCTGCTCGATGTGCTTGGGGCCCGTCGCGTCAGCGGTGATGAACGGGAGGGAAATCTTGGCCTGACAGCTTCGCAAGACAAAATCGCAGGACGCGAAGCGAAGCAGGCTTTGGATCAAGCACGCGGCTTGTACACCCAAGCTGGCGCACCTCCTGCACGCCAGACAGCTCGATCTTGGCCTTCTCGGCGGCCTCGGTCAGGCGCTGAAGCGCCTGCTTGTCCTTGAGAAGGTCGATGCCCTGAGCCACAAGAGCGTACACAAATCTAGGCTTGCCAAACGGATTCCTAGGGACTCCTGCAGGTGATAAGCGAGCAAGGTCTTACTTCTTAAAGTTCTACCCACGTTGAGCTTGCCTGGGCCGCTTCCAGGCACTAACCCCAATCAACAACCACGTGAGGCAACAACATCATTCGTCCCACAGCGCCTCGGTCTTCTGGAAGTCTTCCGCCAGCCAATCCACGATGACCTTGTCGAAGTCGTCACCGCCCAGATGGGTGTCTCCGTTGGTTGCCAGCACCTCGCAAACGCCGTCCCCAACCTCCAGCACGGAGACATCGAAGGTGCCGCCGCCGAGGTCGAAGACCAAAATCGTCTCGTTGTTTGCCTTCTCCAGGCCATATGCCAAGGATGCAGCGGTGGGCTCGTTGACAATCCGAAGGACATCCAATCCGGCAATCTTGCCTGCATCCTTCGTGGCCTCAGTCGCTTGGCTGGGCGCGGCAAGCCACGAAACAGCACCTCCACTATCCATGACACCTTCTGCGACCCTCACACAGACAATTGTTCTCATGAACCAGCACCGCCACCTTGATTTGCTACACTATGCTACACTGCTACACTGCACGGTGCCTGACGCTGCGAGTCGTTGAAGTAAGCCGGCACCGTCACGACGGCCTGTGCCGAGGCCACAAAACTGCACCGGGGCTTGGACAGGGTTGGACTTGGAGATAGCCAAGCAGTTTGACCACTCGGAAGCAGCCCGCCTTCTGGACGGTGGCACTCAAGTACGTGCCGGCATCGCCGCTGAGCTTGCGCAGCACCTGTGCAGAGATCTCCTCGGGGGCGAACTTCTTGCTCAAGACTGGGCAGTCGATCTTCACCTTCTGACCTTCGAAGTCCACCTGGTAGGACACCTCCTTCAGTTCTTCCTTCACCTCACCCGGCTGGCGGCCGACAAAGCGCTTCACGGAGTAGAAGGTGTTCTCCGGGTTCACGACAGCCTGCTTTGATCCAGTGGAGGAGCAAGAC